TCCTGTTCTTTTCAAGCCAATCTTCATATAATGACTCTAACTTCCAGCCAAGTTGATTTGTTAAGTTGTTGGTCCAAGGAGCTTTAGGGAGGAGCTTGGGTATTTCTTACCCTCTAATTCCTTTGGAAATGCAATAAGTCCTTGCACTTGACTTAGAGAAATGCTTACTCTCGGCATAGTGTGTGCACTCACTGGAGAATCCTCTCCCTGCCTTGGACTGGGAAGACCTGAAGTTAAACACGCAGCTCTGTGGATTCTAAGGGTGGCTCAGGGCACCCCAAAACAGTCACCTGATTACAAACATATTGACAGCTGAAGTGGGTCCTAAACTAGGGGTCACAAAGTCAACTTCTCCTCGCATGTTATCCGAGGTGCCCTCTGGACCGTGATAGGCAGGAAGTGTGGATGCATTTTAGTGTCCTGGACAAGATTCTCTTGACCTTTCCTTTTCCCATAGTGGTTCACATCAGACCGTTCTCGAGTCTCTGGCAGTCGAAGGGCAATCAGGCCACCCCCAACCAGAGAAGCACGGCCAGAAGGATGGGGAACACTTTGGTTATCCCAACAAAAGAAGCAAATATGGTGTTTCCCAGGATGGGCCAAATTTGCATAATCCATGAGAATGCCGAAGGCTGTTGCTCTGTAAAAGAAGAAGAATGGAAATAATTCTGACATTCTGAACCTCATTAGATGAACAGGACTGGAATGTCTTTCTTTTCCTTATTGCAGGGGGAAGAGGGGTACGAGGGAATTCTTTTTCCTAAATATAAAAATAACACATTCTCATTGTAGTCAAATTTGGAAATACAGAATAATATAAAGATGCATGGATATCCAACCTCTTCACCGAGAGACAATCACCTCTGTTAACATTTTGAAGTATTTTCTTCAAGTGTTTTTCTTTTTTGGTTTTTTTTTTTTTTCAAAGATATCTATTTAAAAATTTTTTACAGGTACGACATGCTTACTATGGAAATCCTGAAAGGATGAAGTATGCAAAGCAGAAAATGTAAGTGTTCCCCCTTTTAACATTCTCAACCCTCCTGAAGCAGAGACTGCCAGTAGCCCCCAAATAGCATTTCCCCAAATGTAGGACATTTCCCAGACTCATTTGCTGCTGAGAATGGCCGTGTGACTTAGTTTTGGCCAATGGGATGTAAGTGAAAGTGGCGGCAGTTTCCAAGAAGCTTCTTTAAGGGACATTGTGGGTGGGCCTTTTGCTCTGTTCCCCTTCATTCTTTTCCTTCTACCCTGCTTCATGATGGAACACAGATGGTTTCATTTTGGACCATGGTGAGTCCATGCAATGAAAAACAATGAGATAGAAAGAGCCTGCACCACCCACTCTTAGACCTCAGAAAGAAAAATGCAACTGCTAACCTTCTCAAGACCACAGCAATGTATTTGAGGTTTCTGTCAGCCACAGCAAACCTAATCCTAATTATGATCTTTCAATCCCACTTTCCTGAGAACTATTACTAAATAACAGACCCCGAGCCCAGAGGCAAAATATTCCCAATACTACCTCCCCCAAGGAAAAAAATGGCCCGTACCACAAGTTTATTAAAAAAGTGGGTATATTTTTGTACTTAAAAAACTCTTCTTCATTTTGTCTATACTGTAAGGTTTATATCACCAACCAGTCTTTTTCGGTTCGTTGTCTTAGTATTTGGATGATCTTAACTATGTACTAAAATATAACTTTTTTGAAGTTCAGGGGGAAAAAAATTTTGATATTTGAAAAAAGAACCTAGTTAGAAAAAACAAAACAATTGACATTTTTGTAAAGAGAACTTCTTATCCAAATTAGGTATAGCCTTAAATACAGTATTATATAATAAAATATACTAATATGTGACAATTATAATCATATAGTATATAAATATATAATCCATAAATATATCATTTCTTGAGACAGGTCGCCTGAACCAGGGTGTGCGGGATCCTAGCTCACTATAACTTGAACCCCTGGTCTAGAGCTCTCCCCCTCAGCCTCTGTAGGACTACCAGGAAATGCACATGCCTGCGCTAATTTCTAAACAGAGGAATGATCCATATATGCCCCCGGGATCTCAAATCCTGCTTCAGCAATCTTTTGCCTCTGCCCCCCCCCAAGGGGAATATCTTCTCTTAATGTCTTTTTTTTTTTTTTTTTTTTTTTTTTGAGACGGAGCGCCTGTGCCCAGGCTGAGGCATGTGGTATCTGGTCACTGGCAGCTCCGCCCCCCCGGGTTCACGGCCATCTCCTGCCTCAGCTCCCGAGTAGGCTGGGACTACAGGCCCACCACCTGCCCGCTAATTTTCTTTTTTGTATTTTTAGTAGAGAACGGGGTTTCCACCGTGTTAGCCAGGATGGTCTCGGATCTCCTGACCTCGTGATCCAGCCCGTCCTCCGCCTCGCAAGGAGTTGCTGGGATTACAGGCTTGAGCCACCGCGCCCGGCCCTCTTTATGTCTTTAAAAATATCTTAGTAAAGCTTTATGGTTTTCTTCATTTAAGTGTTTCACTTGTCAAGTTGATCCCTATTATTTTATGATGTCTGCTGTTATTAAATGGATTTGAATTGCATCTTTAACTTTTTCAATATATTTTAAACCTATACATAATTTAGTTTTTATTACTGACCACCTGACCAAATTGTCTTTTTCTCTCTAGTAGTCTCATTAGTTAATTCTCTTGTTTCCTAGATGTAAAATCACATCATATTCAAATAATAATCATTGTCCTCCTGTTATTTTGTAAAACTTAGCAGTTCTTTGACTGAAATGAGAGGGCTCCAAATATGGCACATTGTGTTCTTCCTTAGTTATCTATATCCAACACTCTGTCGCCAATTTTGGAATATCACTAAGGTTTTTGCAGAATTTCATTTACCCACCTTCCTTACCATTGTCACATTCTTTTTGAACACAGGGCCTCTTATCTTCTCTCCTTAAAATTCACAATTCCCCTCCACAGAAAAACAATTACTAAGTAATGACTTTCACCCTATGCCTTTAAACCAGGCCTCTCCCCATATATGACCTGTGCAAAATAAAAGTGACCCCTGGGCTCCCTGCCACATTCTCTGCAGATTCCCTGGATTCATGCTGCCTCCTGAGCTTTATTTATCTCCCTGCCCCTGTGCTATTCAGTTCTTCACTTTTTTGCCTTATTCCCATTGGCAGGTCTGTTCTCTCTTGTGGATTACATGACATATGGTTTTGCCAACACTTTCACTCTTATTTCCTTCTCCTGGACATAGTCTGCTCCCATCCTTTGCTTCTTGCCATCCTTCCAACCTTATCAGCCCTAGCCTGCCAACTTTCAGGTCTATGCCATCCCCCATGCAGGCAGAAGCTCAACGTAAGAGATGTTGTTTCATGGAACAGCAGAAAGACCACGATGGCCATGCACAGCATGAGATTCAGGGAGCAGGTAGACTTCTGACCAAAGAAACCCAAACAAGTCCCTGAGGAAAGCCCATGGAAGAACTGACCTCTGGTTGGTGGGATACAACTCCACTGTGATCACATCCAGAGCATTCCAGGCCGCAATGCTTGTCCCACAGAAACAGGCACTGCCAGCGACATCGCAGATCCGCTGTTGCCAAAAAAACAGGAAGAAGCAGCAGACTGCAGAGATAACATGGAGCACCTGCAGAGGGAGTTCAAGGTCAAAAAGAAACATGAGGCCTGTGTCTTGCACACGGCTATCACTCACAGTTCTCATCCCATCTCCCACCTCACTGGTACACCTGAAGCCAAGGCTGCCTGAAGTATTAGGTTCACCTCCACAAGAAGAGCACAGCTGGAACCCTCCCATGGCACCCCAGCCATGGCATTAGAGCCCTCTGCTGGGTCGATCACCAGACTTAGGAAGGCTTCTGAAGTCACACACTAAGGTGCTGCCAGCTCAGAATGACGGCAGGGCAGATAGGGCATTTGTTGAGAATCTATTATGTACCAGACATTGTTCTAGGTGCTTGAGCTACATCAGTATCAGTCAAAAAACAAAAACAAAACTCAGCTTGATTTGAAACCAGGATGTCAAAGAGATCTGTGCTCTTCGACAATAGTCCACAATAGTCAAAATATGGAGTCAACCTAAGTGGCATCAACAGATGATGGATAAAGAAAATGTGGTTTACTACACAATGGGATACTATTCAGACATTAAAAAGAAAGAATTCTGGCAGTCGCAGTGGCTTACGCCTGTAATCCCAGCACTTCAGGAGGCCAAGGTGGGTGGATCACTTGAGGTCAGGAGTTCGAGACCAGCCTGACAACATGGTGAAACCCTGTCTCTATGAAAAATACAAAAGTAGCCAGACTCGGTGGTGCACACCTGAATCCCAGCTACTTGGGAGGCTGAGGCACCAGAATTATTTGAAGCAGGGAGGCAGAGGTTGCAGTGGCAAGATGGTGCCACTGCATCCAACCTGGTGACAGAGCAAGACGCTGTCAAAAAAGAAGAGAAAAAGAAGGAAAGAAGGAAGGGAAGGAAGGAAGGAAGGAAGGAAGGAAGGAAGGAAGGAGGGATAGGGAGGGAGAGAGAGGGAGGAGGAAGAGGAAGGAGGAAAAGAAAGAGAAAGAGAAAGGAATTCTGCCATTTAGGACAAAATGGATGAACCTGGAAGGGCAGGATGCTAGATACAGTCCATGGGGTAAGCCAGGCACAGAAACATCTCACTCACTTTTCGAGATCTACTACATAGCAGGGTGACTACGTTACTAACAATGTATTGTATATTTCAAAATTGCTGAGAGTAAATTTCAAATATTCTCACCACAAAACATATATATGTGTGGTGATGGATATGTTAATTAGCTTGACTTAATCATTCGCATCGTATATATGCATCAAAATATCACATTGTACCCATAAAAATACAAATTGTAATTTATCCATTGAAAATAAAAACATATTTTAAAAATCCATTTTCATGGAAGCTTATAACTGGTGTAAAACACCTGTACATGGGCTACTGAAGGAAACCTGAAGAAAGGGGTGCTATTCTGCATTTACCCGATCCCACCCCAGAGATCTGACTTGTCCTTTTCAGCCCTACTCTATACTCTGTACTCTATACATGTGCTCTGTGAACAAATACTCTCTACTCACTAACCCCATGGACTTTCTTATCAGTTGGGAGGGAAAGTGGCTGGAGTACCTCTTCCAACTCCTCCCCTGGGGTAGAAGGGCCTTTTCTGGCAATGGGCTGCATCCCTCAAGACCCAGTTCCTCCCAGGTAGCTCTTGTTCCATGGTTCCAGCCCCCACGGGCTCTGTGAGTGCAACTGCTCCCCCTTGTCCTCATTAGCCATTAGAAGTGGTAAACTGCTTCTCATCTTTTGTAGTGGTCTGGGTGCCCTCACCTCCTTATTTTTTCCCACAACCTCTGCCCCAACCTCTAAAAAGGCCCTAATGAGTAAGGTTTCCTTACTAGAGACATCTGGGCGATGAATCCCTTTTCCCTCTCCAAGGATAATCACAGTATGCAGTCCATGAGTTAGCTCGCAGGGCCCACACAGAGGGAGAAGTGCAGCTCAGATCTCTGGGGTGGGATGGGATGAAACAGAAAATAGACAGCAACAGCCCTTAGTAGAGCTAATAGAATCCGCATCCAAAGAAGACTGTCAAATGCGCCCAAATCCAGTAAGTCAGCCGGAGGAACTTGGTATGGTCACTCCAAGTCCCAAGGTGGATGCAGAGCACATGGTCAAAACAGGTTGCAGCCCAGAAAGGTGCTAGGCGATGAGGGGAAATAGGTTAACAGAAAGGGGGAAGGAGAGCAGGTCTCAAAACAACCAATGGACACAGGGCACGAGTGCCCACCAGGTTACTCAGGCCCCGGGGAGGAGGATCCCAGTGGCAAAGAAGCCAGAGGCCGACCTGGCCTCAATAGAAACGCCTCCCCAGGATGGGCCCAGCCCAGAGTGTCACCTCAGACCTGGGCTGCAAGACTAGTGCCAATTCCTTGCTGATGAACCTAAAAATG